GACTATTTTAGTCATCTCTGCTCGTCTTCGTGGCTGTTGGCAATGGTGATTGGACATGCACCATAACAAATTGCACTCCATTAAACCGCTTTTAGGTTTGTGGCCATCATCTTACCACCGTTGCCGTACTCAGGGGACTGCGCTCTGGTTTTTAGAGGAATTTGAGAGGGAATGTAAAAGGCCATTAAAAGCAGACAAAAGAAAGAGCAATGTGATGAGTAACAAAAAAAAAACTAGGCAATAAAAGATTAGATATGAGACTGGAGGAGGGAGCATGATGGAACCATGCATGTTCAGATATTTGGGAATGGACCTGTCAGTGAATGACTATGAAAGATGAGGTAAATCATGGAAGAAGGGAAAAAGGTGGGTGCTACACTGAGGGGTCTCTGGAGACAACTGTATCCATGGAAGCAAAAAAGGGAATGTACCAAAGTAAAGTGGTACCAACATTGCTGCATGATTTTAACGCTGCACTGAGGAGGAGGCCGGAGGAAGCAGACATGTTGTGTGTGAGGGCAACGTGTGAAGTGAATATTACGAAGAAAATTCAAAGTGTGGATATTAGAAAGCGTGAAGTTACCAATACAGGTCCACATCTTTATCTGAAATTCGAAAAGTTCCGAATATTGAAGTTTTTTCAGGAATGTGAAGCGTCGGTCATCTCCGTGCTGGGTCATGTTGCCATGTGGTGGCATTGAGAATCATTCTGAAATTCGAAATGATACAGGCCCCAAGGGTTTCGGATAAAGGGATGTGCACCTGTAGTATAATTCGGAGGGCTAAGGAGGGGGTGTTGCAAAATAGGACAACTAGGAGGGTATATGGGGTCCAGTCCCTGGACCCATTATGTACCTTTGTAATCTTTTGACTACCGCCCACAGGATGGGTATGGGGTGCATAATAAAGATATTAAACTAACTAGGAGGGTATATAAATCTGGTGTGGAGGGAAGGCAGGGTATGGGTGTTGGAGGGAGTAAATGTGGTTTCAAGTGCTACAGGTTCATGGGAGCATGTTAGATTGGAGCGAGTGGTTTTTTGTGACCTGCTGTGTTGTTAAAGTGTGAGCATGGTAACATTTATTTAGGGATCCAGGGAAACCAAGCAGCTGGACTGAGTCATGGAGGTGGGAAGTATAGTGTCTGCCACCTAAAGGAGGGGTGAGAATGTTGCAGTTTGGAGAGCCATCTGAACCATGATGTCAACACTTTGGGAAGACAGCAAATGAATAAATGACAAGTGAATGTGATTTTTTTTTTTGTTCACCCTACCTTGGTGGGAGATGGCCTGTGTGTTAAAAAAAATGTAAATTCATTTTCATATGCACAAGATAGTGCATATCAGGATATCAATTGTTTTAATATTTAAAATTTATTAAATATTTTTTTTTTTTTATTATCACACTGGCCGATTCCCACCAAGGCAGGGTGGCCCGAAAAAGGAAAACTTTCACCATCATTCACTCCATCACTGTCTTGCCAGAAGGGTGCTTTACACTACAGTTTTTAAACTGCAACATTAACACCCCTCCTTCAGAGTGCAGGCACTGTACTTCCCATCTCCAGGACTCAAGTCCGGCCTGCCGGTTTCCCTGAACCCCTTCATAAATGTTACTTTGCTCACACTCCAACAGCACGTCAAGTATTAAAAACCATTTGTCTCCATTCACTCCTATCAAACACGCTCACGCATGCCTGCTGGAAGTCCAAGCCCCTCGCACACAAAACCTCCTTTACCCCCCTCCCTCCAACCTTTCCTAGGCCGACCCCTACCCCGCCTTCCTTCCACTACAGACTGATACACTCTTGAAGTTATTCTGTTTCGCTCCATTCTCTCCACATGTCCGAACCATCTCAACAACCCTTCCTCAGCCCTCTGGACAACAGTTTTGGTAATCCCGCACCTCCTCCTAACTTCCAAACTACGAGTTCTCTGCATTATATTCACACCACACATTGCCCTCAGACATGACATCTCCACTGCCTCCAGCCTTCTCCTCGCTGCAACATTCATCACCCATGCTTCACACCCATATAAGAGCGTTGGTAAAACTATACTTTCATACATTTCCCTCTTTGCCCCCAAGGACAAAGTTCTTTGTCTCCAGAGACTCCTAAGTGCACCACTCACCCTTTTCCCCTCATCAATTCTATGATTCACCTCATCTTTCATAGACCCATCCACTGACACGTCCACTCCCAAATATCTGAATACATTCACCTCCTCCATACTCTCTCCCTCCAATCTGATATCCAATCTTTCATCACCTAATCTTATTAAATATATGCACATTATTTTAAAATTAAGCTTGTATATGTTCAGATATTTAGCAACAAGGGGTTAGTAACCCCTTCTCCTGTACACATTACTAAAGTTAAAAAGAGAAACTTTTGTTTTTCTTTTTGGGCCACCCCGCTTTGGTGGGATATCTCCGGTTTGTTGGAAGTAGATCTGTCAGCAGATAGATTTATGAAGGACAAGGTTAACCATAGAATTGATGAAGAAAAAAAAAATTATCCATGGAGGTAAAGAAGGGAATGTATGAGAGTATAGTGGTACCAACACTCTTATATGGGTGTGAAGCATGGGTTGTGAATGTTGCAGCGGAGATGTTGTATCTAAGGGCAATGTGTGGTGTAATTAGGAGGTGTGAGTTACAAAAAGTATTATTCAGAGGTCAGCCTGTATAAATCTGTAGTGGAGGGGAGGAGAGGTAGGGGTTGTCCTAGGAAAGGATGGAGGGAGGGGTTAAAAGAGGGACATGCAGCAGGCATGTGTGAGCGTGAATTGAGACAAATGGTTTTTGCATCTGACAAGCTGCTGGAGTGTGAGCAGGGTAAAATTTTGTGAAGGGATTCAGGTAAACTGGTTAGTCAGACTTGAGTCCTGGTGGTGGGAAGAACAATGCCTGCACTTCAAATGAGGGGTTTGGTATATTGGCTGTTTGGAGTCACATCTAAACCATCATATCTGGGCACCTCTGCAAAGACAGTGATTGTGTGTGAATGATAATGAAAGTTTCTTTTTTGAGTCACCCTGCCTTGGTGGGAGATGGCCAACGTGTTGATAAAAAAAATCTAGGTCAATTGCTAGCACACTCATCTCAAATACTGAGGTTCGGGGTTCGAATCACCTCCGTACAGCTGGAAAAACATTAGGGACGTGTTTCCATAAGACACCTGCTGTCCCTGTTCACCCATCAGTTTAAAATGGGTACTTGGGTGTTAGTCGACTGGTGTGGGTCGCATCCTGGGACAAAAATTACCAAATTTGCCCAAAATGCTCAGCATAACAAGCGGCTTTCTATGTGTATGTCAGCTAGGCCTGCATACCTTGTACATGTACTTGTAGTAAATAAAGATATTATCATTATTATCAGTTAGGTTGTAGGGTGGTAGACAACAACCACCCAGGAGGTACTACTGTCTGCCAAGCGAGTGTGAAACGGAAACCTCTAATTGTTTTACATCATGGTAGGGCTACTGGTGTATTTTTTCTGTCTCATAAACACACAGGATAACAGGTATATCTTGCCACTTCTACTTACACTTAGATTACACTATACATGCATATATATTTACACATCCATCTGGGTTTTCTTCTATTTTCTTAATAGTTTGTTTTCTTTATTTCCCCTTATCTACATGGGGAAGTGGAAAAGAATTCTTCCTCTATAAGCCATGCATGTCGTTAAGAGGCATCTAAAATGCCGGGAGCAAAGGGCTAGTAACCCCTTCTCCTGTATAAATTACTAAATTTAAAAAGAAAAACTATCATGTTTCTTTTTAGGTCACCCTGCCTCGGTGGGATATGGCCAGTTCATTGAAAAAAAAAACTACGAACAATGCACAAATAACCACACATAGGAGAAAGAAACTTATGACGTCTCAGTCCAACTTGGATCATTAACTAGTCTCACACACTGTGTGTATTTCTCCTATGTGCAGGTTATTTGTGTACTACTTCTCTCAATATGTTCAAAATATACCAAAATGATCTACTGTGTACATGGTATAAATTTTTTATAGTTTTTGGGACACTTGAGCTTAGCATCCTCAGACTGACAGTATAGCTACCTAGGGCCATGCTATTTCTTATTGACATGTCTATATTAAGTTAATATTCAAAGAATACTGCCTGTGCCCATTATCAAGTACAAGTAAAATACTCAGTTACTTACTGAAGATTTCTTTTTTTCTCTCAGAATTTAGTAAGGTTTTACATAAATAATTTTAACTTTAAAAGATCCTTTAAAATAATATCCTTTCATCTAAAACATTTACCATCATCAAATGAGCACTAGAACTCCCTATCTATTTTCTCTACATGCATCATTAACTTACCTTTCACCTGAAATTTTCTCTACAACTCTTATCTACCTTTAGAAGTGTAATCTGGTCCTCCCTGAGTAGAGTGTCAAATCCAGGAAGACGCTTGGAGAACTCTACGATCAGCTGAACTGTGAGGATGGTCATGTCTGTGATGTGTTTAAACTTGGCATCCGAGTCGTCTTCACTTATTTCGTAATCCTAGAAGAAGTCAAAGGAACCACCGACTTACAAAGCAGTCACTATGCTTCCTGCAATCTTCAGATGACAGAACATGGAGAGAGCAATTCCTTTTAATGATGATGATGGTCCCTGAAACTATATACTCATTTGTTTTTAATTTGATGAAAACATACAATATTCTTGAAAAGATAAGAAGAAGCTTAATGATTATTCTGGGTACAGTATCATCATCAGATTCTAGAATGGCTTTCTCCTCTGTATATCCTGCTTCCCGAGAAGGTCCAATGTTTATCTGAAATGGAGATTTCTAGGTTCATTCTCAGTCAGGTAGTCTTTCTTGCAACCAGTGCATGGACTATCTATGGTTCAAAAAATACCACAGATTTTTTTTTAACCGAGAAGTCTCCCAAAGATCACAAGAAGTTATTAGTTTTCCTGTAAGAAATTTGCTCATCAATCCACCATTTTCATTTGCTGGACTGTGTACCTTGAGCAGAGTAATCTGGTCTTCTCGTTGAAGAGTGCCGAAACCTGGTAGTTGCTTGGAGAATTCCACTATGAGCTGAACTGTGAGGATCGTCATCTCGGTTATGTGCCTGAATCTCATGTCACTTGTATCTTCCCCATCGAAGGTAAACTGAAGAAAGGAAACAGAAGCCACTTGGTGAGGAAATGACTGAAAATGATTCACAAGAAGTAAGGGAACACTTTAATAGTCACAGTGTTCAGATAATGATCTTCAGTCAGTTGTGTATTTACAAGTCAAGTCAGTCAAAGAAACCAAGTTAATAAACTGAAACACAGTGTTGAAATTTATGAGTATTATGAAGTCACACCTGGGTTACAACAACATAACTGCTACACTACATATTCACAAAGAAAAGATGTCAGTCAACCTCATTTAATCCAATCCAATCATTTTTGTAAACAGGTTTAAGTCTGTATACACACACACATCTCAATCACTAAATAAATTAGCCAATCATTCACTTTTACACACGAACTGGAGCTTGATAACCTGAATGCACACATGTATATGCCTAAATTCATCTACACACACACACATACATTCTAGACCTACCCAAATCTGTACATAATTATACACACCAACAAACTAAAGCGCAAAAACACAACTACAAATACATGCATACATACACACTTAGATATGCAAGTTCATACTTACATATGCAAACACACACCTACATGCAGAACCACAAAAGTGCCTGGACATACATACATATGCATACCAACATACATAAGAAAACATGTCTACATACCTCTGCATGCACACTAACATACACCATGTGATGAATGGTTTCAAAAACCGACAAGTTGAAGATTGAGACACTTATGCACCATATGGGAATCTTTATTTAGGAAACGTTTCACCACACAGTGGCTTCTTCAGTCCAATACAAAGCAGAAAGGTGTAAGGAGAGGAAGAGATTGAGGTAATCAGTCCCTCAGCCTGGAGTCGATGTGTTCAGTCCATCGACTCCAGGCTGAGGGACTGATCACCTCAATCTCTTCCTCTCCTTACACCTTTCTGCTTTGTATTGGACTGAAGAAGCCACTGTGTGGTGAAACGTTTCCTAAATAAAGATTACCATATGGTGCATAAGTGTCTCAATCTTCAACATACACCATACATACAAACACTTACACACATATTAACACACACACACACACACACACACACACCAATATGCACATATTAGAGCTCTATCCCCACAAACAGTTTGATGACCACACACAATCCTCTCTCACAAGTCATGAAAAGTGATAATAGAATATTTTTTTCTATTCTCTGTTGCCAGAAAGCCTCAGTCTTCAGGGTTCTAATTAATTTCACTTTTTTATCAGTACAGCATTTAATCTGTGAATAATTACCTAAGGCTAATTAATAAATGTATTATGTATTGTGATTAAAAAGGCTTTGCAGATTCTTTTTGTATTTACAGTATTCTGAACACTGTCAGTCAATAATGCAGTTCTTCATCATTTAAGTGTCTCATTTGTTAATGAAATATATAATGCTTGATTCATATATATATGTTTTAAAATTTTTCAGATATAATACTGCCATTAAATTGTGCTCTTAAAAATCACAATAAATCACCCTGTATATTTATATATTCTCTACTGACAGTAATTTTAGTTAATAGTCTCTTACACCAGCAAACACATTTCAGCTAAGACCAGATAACAATAGAAATTCATGAAAATAGTCTTAAGTTTTCCTTCAATATTTCATTCTGATGGTGAAATGATTTTTTAACCAAATATATTCTCTCACTCAACAGACACTATTTTTTGACAATCTGTGTATTTCTGATGTCTATACTCATTATGCCAAACATTGAACAACCCCTACATATTAAGTGCTTCCCATGAATATAAAACAATATATTCCTTTTGAGTAATCTAGCACTGTTACATTTGCTAGTTAAATTAATTATTGAATTGTTGTCCTTTAATTTTTAGAGAACTTCATATTTTATAGTCGAAGCAGCAGGCAACTACATCACTTGTACGTGAAAATAAGCTGGCATGCAATATTCTTCTCAGCTTACATGCTGTTATAACCCTTGTAGGTTTAGCACTTCGTTTTTATAATAATGATAATTCTCAGTTTACAAAGTACACTCACCACTGCCAACTGAATTTTTTGCACACATATATCAGTTAAATCAAATTATTATTATGAGAATATTCTTTCCAGTCAAAAAATAATTTAAAATATAAATTATTGTACATATAAAAATCTCTTACAAGTGACGAAACATTCCCATTAGCAGACGGTGTAGCTACTGTTGCTATATTTCTTAACCATAACTTAAAATGTGATTTAGGTTTTATTCTCTAGTTTCTATGTTAATTTACTTGAATGTAATGGGTTATAAAATATTCTGACAGTAATGTACAAGCATAATATGTATATAGGAATTAGCCACTGAAGACATTCAATACAAATGCATATAAACCAGATAACTCAATTTCATTTGCATATATTGGATATTTTTGTATATTTTTCATTAACATTATTGTTTCTAAATTTTGCAGAAAATTATTAAATATAAATTTAAATTACTGCATTCCAAAAGTAAGTAATGTGTGATAACACTTACGTGAACTTGTTTATGAATGTTGTTAATGGTCACTATTCTACAGTACTTCTAAGTTTCAAAAGCAATCTCATTCACATTTCAACAAATCATATGCTTCAGTTTACTTACTTAACAGGTTAAAGGCAAAATATAAGAATAATAAGGGGTTCATGCAAAAATAAAAAGCAGTAGCCATGCAAGAATCCCAATCACCAAAATAAAGTATGATAGATCATATATCAAGAGAGCCAATTTCTGAGTTTTTGTTATGTGTTAATCCTTGTATTGTATAATGGCAGCCTCTTCCTTTCATACAGGTTTCAGCATAAATAGTTCTCCAATTACATTTGCAGGCTACCTGTTGTTTTAATAATTAAAGGCAAATTTAAAAAATATTCAGTGCTGTTTATACCTTTGCATCATTTATATTGTTCACACAATATAAGCACTCAAGATTCCTGAAAAATGTTTATTTTAGTTCCCTAATTAACCTTATATACATAAACTGAGAACAAAAAAAAAAAAGTAATAAAAGGATGTGTCCTGGGTCTAAGAGCCAAAAATCTTTTAATCAATATTAGGAGAATTTATAATAGGCTGAAGGTATTGTAAGTTGTTAAAACAAAATTATCTTATGATTACAAAAACAGTGTTGTCATGATACAGTAACATATACTGTATATAGATGGATGTCTTCCCCCCCTATCCCCCATCACACTTCCCACAACTGATTCAGTGTTTTGTGTGACACTCCCTAAAACTGAGTCAGTGTTCTGTGTGTGACAGGTAAAGCTGCTACTTAAGTGATTTCAGATAAGATCTGTGTTGTTTAAAAGTAAGCATCATTCTAAAAATTTACTAGAATAGGCACTTTCTCTACATTCAGCTCGTCCTCTTGGTATACATTATGTAATAATGACAATCTCACAGGCTACAAAAAAATTGGGTGTAAAAATACTGTTTGAGAAATTGGGAAAATGGTTGCCAACCATTTTTCCAAACAACTGAACAGTGCTTAATATCATATTACAACATATTTGTATAAAAACTTAGACTAATTTCAACCACTATTATTATAATCATGGAGGAGTGCTAAACCCATAGGATTATACAGTGCATGTTGGTGGGGGGGGGGGGGATGGAAGGTATTCAGGGAGCTGGAGTACAGATCCAATTTCTTAAATCAAGAGCCCCTCACCAGCATCAAGGAATCTCCCTTGAGGGGACCAACCACTAAAATGCATAAATACAACCTGGGTTCAACGATAAATGAAGGAGCAGCAAACAGTAACATGTACACTACAGTATTAGAATACAAAAGGGAACACATGTATTATAGATCCACAGACAAGTGCATTAAACTTCGTTAAAACATCAGTACAGTAGTCTCTTTTATCTCAAACAGATGAATAAGTGTTTTGGCTATCACACCTTTTTTGAGGATGTCTGTTAGAAAGATGTCCGGCAGCTCGATTGCTAGTGCACTCGGCTCGCACACCGAGGTCCGAGGTTCGAAACTCCTCTGGTACGACTGGAAAACATTAGGGATGTGTTTCCATAAGACACCTGCTGTCCCGGTTCACCCATCAGTTTAAAATCGGTACCTGGGTGTTAGTCGACTGGTGTGGGTTGCATCCTGGGACAAAACTGACCTAATTTGCCCAAAATGCTCGATATAACAAGTGGCTTTCTATTTTTTTTTTATTATCACACTGGCCGATTCCCACCAAGGCAGGGTGGCCCGAAAAAGAAAAACTTTCACCATCATTCACTCCATCACTGTCTTGCCAGAAGGGTGCTTTACACTACAGTTTTTAAACTGCAACATTAACACCCCTCCTTCAGAGTGCAGGCACTGTACTTCCCATCTCCAGGACTCAAGTCCGGCATGCCGGTTTCCCTGAACCCCTTCATAAATGTTACTTTGCTCACACTCCAACAGCACGTCAAGTATTAAAAACCATTTGTCTCCATTCATTCCTATCAAACACGCTCACGCATGCCTGCTGGAAGTCCAAGCCCCTCGCACACAAAACCTCCTTTACCCCCTCCCTCCAACCTTTTCTAGGCCGACCCGTACCCCGCCTTCCTTCCACTACAGACTGATACACTCTTGAAGTTATTCTGTTTTGCTCCATTCTCTCCACATGTCCGAACCGCCTCAACAACCCTTCCTCAGCCCTCTGGACAACAGTTTTGGTAATCCCACACCTCCTCCTAACTTCCAAACTACGAATTCTCTGCATTATATTCACACCACACATTGCTCTCAGACATGACATCTCCACTGCCTCCAGCCTTCTCCTCGCTGCAACATTCATCACCCATGCTTCACACCCATATAAGAGCGTTGGTAAAACTATACTCTCATACATTCCCCTCTTTGCCTCCAAGGACAAAGTTCTTTGTCTCCAGAGACTCCTAAGTGCACCACTCACCCTTTTCCCCTCATCAATTCTATGATTCACCTCATCTTTAATAGACCCATCCGCTGATACGTCCACTCCCAAATATCTGAATACATTCACCT